GGCCACTGGCCATCAGCCATCGCCCAAGCATTGGCCAATAAAGGGCCACTTTTTGGCCACTGGCCACAAGACCATCCCCAGCCACTGGCCATTGCTTGGCCAAAATCCGAAATGCTTGGGTACCTACCACCAAATATTTCATTGCATCTACAGGACCTTCAAGGACTCATTAGCCAGCTTCCCCAACCTTTTTTTAATCTTAGGAGATTTTAATGCGCACCACCCCATGTGGGGCAGTGCCCGCCAAGACTCCCTTGGTGGGGTCATTGAACGATTTTTGTTATCATCTGGTCTTTGCCCTTTAAATGGAAGTGATCCAACTTTTTTAGAGCATCTCATAATACTTTCACATCTATAGATTTGTCTCTTTCATCACCATCCTTACTTCCATGCTTTTTATGGAAGGTTTTAGACAATCGCTTTGGAAGTGACAATTTTCCTGTGATTTTAGAATGTATGGCATCACTCCCTTCCCTTCGAGCCAGCATCCCCAGGTGGAAGTTGGATGAGGCGGACTGGGCTCTTTTTGCGTTGGAAGCGGCACTTGACTCTACCGAATTTTTATCTGTGTCGCCTGAAAATTCCACTTGCACATTACTGATCTTCCGAAGCGGTGCAAGCCTTGGTGGACCAATGAGTGTACTGCCACACGTTGGTCTCAGAACAAGGCCTGGGGCACTTTTTGTCGCTGCCCAAGTACTAGGAACAAGATTGAATTTAAAAAAAGTAAAGCAAAGGCTCGTTGGACAAGGAGGCAAGCCAAGGGGAGTTCGTGGATGAAGTAGGTTTGCAAAGTAAACAGTTTCGTTACTTCAAAAGAGGTGTGGGACCGAATGAGAAAAATTCGGGGCAATAATCTTTTTTTTAGAATACCTCTTTTACCCTCAGCTGTGCCCACATTAAAGGGTCAGGCAAATTGTCTTGCAAATTATTTTCAAGAAGTCTCTAGTTCATCCAGTTACACTGCCAAATTTCAGAAATTCAAGGCTATGGCAGAAAAGCAGCCAATTGGTATGTCCGGATCAGATGCTCTAGAATATAACCAGCCTTTCACACTGTGTGAACTTGAGATGGCCCTTGCAACAAAAAATGAATCTGCACCTGGACCTGACAGAATTAAATATAAAATGTTGCGGCACTTACCGTGTGAATCCCTAGGACATCTCTTGATTTTTTTTAACCATTTGTGGGGAGCTTCTGTTTTTCCTCAGTGCTGGAAACGTGCGCATATAATTCCCTTGCTGAAACCCGGTAAAGATTTTTCACTGCCTACGAGTTATCGTCCCATTCCGCTGACCAGTTGTCTCGGGAAAACGTACGAGAGGCTGATAAATAGGCGACTAGTGCACTTTTCGGAGGCTGAAAAAATTTTAGATGGAAATAAATGTGGATTTAAAATGGGTCGCTCAACCTTAGATCATCTTGTTCGCCTGGAAACTTCCATACGTGAAGGTTTTTTACATAGACAGCACTGCGTGTGGGTATTCTTCGACCTAGAGAAGGCTTACGACACTACTTGGCGTTATGGGATTCTCAAGGACTTGCACATGTGTGGCATCCGTGGCCAAATGCTGCGTTGCATACGAGAGTTTCTTAGTAACCGAACTTTTCAGGTTAGGTTTGGCTCCACACTCTCTGATGTTTTTCTTCAAGAAAATGGGGTCCCCCAAGGAGGTGAATTGAGTGTTACTCTGTTTGCAGTGAAAATAAACAGCCTGGCTGCAGCGATACCGCCATCTGTCTCTTACTCGTTATATGTAGACGATGTGCAGATTTACTTTCCTTCCTGCAACCTCTCGAGTTACAAGCGCCAACTGTAGGTCTCTATAAATAAAATGAGTAAATAGGCCGATGAAAATGGGTTTAGATGTTCTCCTGAAAAGACGGTATGCGTGCCCTTTTCACTACGGCGTCGCCTCTCACTTGAGCCAGTTTACAACTGAATAGTATATCTGTACCTGTAAAGCAAGAGCACAAATTTTTAGGACTTGTTTTTGACAAGAAACTTACGTTTTTGGCCCATATCAAGGAACTAAAGAAGAAGTGCCTGCAAGCGTCTAATATCCTCAAAGTACTTCCTCATATGTCTTGGGGGTCTGACAGGCGATGTCTGATCCGATTATGCAATGCCCTGGTTCGTTCCCATCTGGACTACGGTGCAGTTGTGTATGGATCAGCACGGGAATCTGTTTTAAAAATGCTAGATCCTGTCCATCATCTTGGCCTTCGACTTGCTGCAGGATCTTTTCGGATTTCGCCTATAATGAGCTTGTATGCAGATGCTTATCAAATTTCTTTAGGAAAAAGCAGAGAATATTTTAGCCTTTGCTATGGATACAAAGTTAAATCTGACCCTGCACATCCCGCCTTTAGCTGTGTAGAGGCTTCTTCGCTCTTACGACTTTTTGAAAACAAGCCAAGCATTGTGCGACCATTTAGCTTTCGGCTTCAAAGTAACTCAACCTCCCTGCAGCTTGCAATCCCTGAGAATAGCATGATTACAAGGGTCGAGAGGATTCCTCCCTGGAGTGCCGTAAAAGTTTCATGCGACTGGTCACTGGCCAAATTTAATAAGAAATCGGTTGAACCTCTCGTGATTCAGCAGGCGTTTTTAGCATTGCTGGAGAAATATCAAGATTACATACAATTTTATACTGATGCTGCCAGAACCTCATCCTAGGTAGGTTCTGCAGTGTTTTCACCACAGTACAAGAAAGCAAGAAGTATCGATAGCACTGAAAGTATTTTTACTGCTGAGCTTTATGGTATAATCATGGCCCTTGAACATATCTGAGAGAATCAGGTTATGAAAGCTTTGTTTCTCGACTCCCAGAGTGCCCTGCTCTCAGTTTGCTCCCTTACCGACACAAAAAACTGGCTTACACAACAAGTGCGTGTAAAGATGCACCGTGTTCTCCTACTTGGACTCGATATTAAACTCTGCTGGGTACCGAGCTATGTAGGAATTATTGGTAATGAAAGGGCAGATGAGCTAGCCGCCTCTATCAAGGATAAGATTAAAATATACCTTAACGCTATATGAAGATTTTAAGCCAGCTTTCAGAAGAGCAATTACTAAGGTATGGCAGTCAGAATGGGGTAGGGAAATTGACATTAAACTACGCGTCATCAAACCTTGTTTACAGGTGTGGGAGAGTTCCCATCACAAGGATCGTTACCATAAAGTGTCGACGCCCCGATTGAGGATTGGCCACTCGCGCTTGACACATCTGCATTTGCTTTGTGGTGAAGATGCACCACAGTGTGAGCACTGCGGCAAAGTAGTGACTGTATTACATATCTTGTGGAATCTCAGGCACCTACATGAACAGCGACGGGCATGTTTTCCAGAACTTTTTAGATGTCATCTCCCGCTTTACCCAGCCTTTCTTCTTGGCGATAAACCTCTAGTCCCTTTTCGACGCGTTTTAGAATTTCTTGAAGTAACTTGCTACATACACCGGTTGTAACTTTTATTTATGAAATATATCACTCTCATTGCAGATATTTTAAAATGTTGTAGATTATGGTCAATGTGTAATCTTAAAATTCATAGACATAGTAATTGTTTATACCCGGAACTCATGTTTATGTGATACACGATTCATGTTCCTAGTCTTATTAGATAATCAACTACTATAGCTCTATTTTTTCAACCCTTGTTTTGCAATAGTTTATTTTGGCCCGGGTAGCTCTCGCGCCATAAAACTCAAATCAATCAATCAACCAACGTGAGCTTAAAATTTTAATTTAGGGCCTATTGCAATTCAAAGGAGCCTTCTACGAGTGATAGCAGGGAATGCTGTTTCGTTGAGCTCGAGACTGCTGATTGGTAACACGGTTTCTGGACGTGGTATTTAGGGTGGATGTGTACTTGCTGTAAGTTAGGGGAACATTGTTTTTTGCGAACCAAGCGCGGACAACGTGCAGGACACCCTGAAGTTGTTGGTGCTAGAAGGAGTGCTGAGCTGGCTGGATAATGATGACGTAATCGGCGTACAGACGGGGCATGCAATGCTAGGAGGATGTTAAATCATTAGTGAAGGTATTGAACAGCGTTTGTCCAAGAAAAATTCCTTGAGCAATTCCAGAAAGGAGACGTTTAGCCATCTCTATCGCTTTTTCGAAGGCAACTCTTTGGAGACGATGTTGTGAAGACTGAAATCTAATTCTCACGACAGCCGTGCTTTCAACGTGAAATAACTTTATGCAGCTTCATGTGCGCCAGGAGTTTGCGTTTTGTTGAGGATTCGTTTTATTGTTCTGCACATGGGACGGGATGGAGGTTGTCAAAATGGGCCGGTACGTGGCAGCCGATGATGTTGGGGAACTTTTTCCTTTGTGCACCGGCGTAACCCTAGTCAGTTTACACCGGTAGGGGGTTGCCACCCTGTAGAACGTTAGTGAACAAACTCGGAAAACCATGCTGAAACATCTGGAGCAGGGCCACAATAGGATGAAGGCCATCAGAGCCGCCCCTTTCGAGCGCAAAGATGCGATATGTGTGGAGGATGTCGGGTACAGCCCTAGCTAAAATGAATTGGTCAATGAAAGTTCCTCTCTGGCTTAGTAGCTTTCTATGGTGTCTCAGTCAACCATAGACTACGAGAAGGACGATGAATTTCCTCGATCTTCGACATATAATCAGAACAGTTTCAGACCTTTTTCTGCTTGCTGAGTGATTCTGTTTACGCAGGAGCTATGTATAGTTGGCTCTTTTAAACAATCTTTCCTTCTGTCGGGAGAGCTGCAGGATGCTGTTGATCATTCAAGGAACCTCTTCTGTACACTGAGAGTCTTGAAGGGTACACAATTAATTTTAATTTCAACTTCTTTGTACAGCTAGATGTTATACACATATACCAAGTTAGAGTTTATGTTTGTTTTACATTCGATAAGCTATACTGAACTTAACAGGTAGGCAGAGGTAACGCTCGCTATAGATTTGTACCAAAACATATATTGCATAAAAAAATGTCACTGTCTCTCACATCTTGCAGGTGTGGCCCAAGGCCAGTACGGTGTCCAAGATTTCGTGGAAGGTAAGTTTAACCGGTCCAGGAAAAGACGTCGTACAAATAAAGAAACTGGGAACAAAAATGGGCTCGTTCCAAAGTAATGGTGTGTCCGCCTGGCAATTTTTTTTTCAACTGGCGTGTTATTTATATATACGCTGAACTTGTTACCGTTTACTAGCAAAGGGAACTTCTCGAACATACCAAAATTTTAAAACTTTGGGATATCTAACGTATTATTCTACTGCGGAAACCACCCTGTTTAGACTTCGCGGCAGGTTCCGTTTTGTTTAATATTTGACGAGTGCAACTTGATCGTTGTTATAAACAGTTAAACTTGCAACAAAACACTAAGTGAAATACATCAGCAATTGTAAGTGCAAAAACATTTTTATAGGTATTTGATATATAAGTGAACATTCAGGTTTTGAGTTTTGCAGTTTGGGAGCTCTTTTTGTGTCCTCGTTCATAAAATATATTACAAATTGAATGTATTAGAAAATGAAGTGGGAAAAACTACCAGGGCGAAAATGTGGCGCTCTACAATTATATAACATGGACCGGGAACAAATAAAAATTGAACAACCAGTGTAACTTTTCTACTGGGAAGCACTTACAAAATTATTCAGCTAAGTGTCACAACCGCGACTTGTATCTTATGAATAACCTTAATATTTTCATTAACATACTTGCAGCCTCTAACCGGGGCTTGCCGGAAATAGTTCGTGCCACCGAATAGAATAAATCCAATATATATTTTTTTAGTGTGCATACTTTTTGGTTGTTTACGCCAGAACCGTGAATAACCCGTAGTCGTGAAAAATTCAATTAGCGGTGATTTTTTTTTATCTGACAACTAGACTTCGCTTTTGCGCCCTGAAAAAAATTTGAATAAGTTTGAATAGGATGATTTACGTAGAAGGGGAAAAATATCGCATTTTTCTCCCATTAAAAATTTAAACGTTCTATATGCAGTAATGATACCTGCCATGACTGCATTGTTTGATATAATTTTTAAGGAAGTTGATTGGCCAGGTTTCCGTATTTCGTGCAATTATTAAAAATAAAGCGTCACAATTTTTTAATGCTGGTGAGCACAATCGCTTAGTATCACTTATTGAGTCTGATGCGAATCTAATTGAAATAATATTTTAACCTAAATGGGTCTACCCCAAGTAGCACAATACCCTGGCTCTAGCTCGCGCCAGGTTGGGCAGCCAAGGAAACTTTCCTTGGGCTATCCTTGTTTTGCACCAAGGCATCAGCTAGAGCCAACCTGGCACGCCAAGATTGGCAGTAAGCTGCAATTCCCCGTCTAGCCAATCTGGGCTTTATCCTGCAAATACAGCCTGGGCCAGGGTGGCTGCTTCCGGGTCAACCAATCCTGGCTATATGGGTAAAAAGAACTCGGACCGGGGCGGCTCTTCACGGGCGAGCCAGTCTTGGGGATGATAATGTTGCAGTATGTGTTTTTCTACTTTTCTTCAGCTTTGTGTATGGCCCTATCGCTGTCCAGCCATGGCGCTCTTTAGCTTTTCTAAAGGTTGAATAAAGACTTCTCTATGGCTTTCCCTAAGGTTCTCTTTAGCCAGCGAAGCCCCCCCAAAAAAATTTTACTTCAAGTTCCCCCGACTTGTGAACGCTACATGGTGTATGTGTATCAATGTATAGATATATATGTGAATCTATGTATATACATCTCTGAACACACATAACACATACAGAACACTTCCCCACACAATAGCAACAACGCAGATCTACGAACGCTATGTCCGCATTAGCTGTGTATATGGCAGTCTAATTTTTGAGTCTGACTTTGCCGGTGACCCATCATTTGTCGCGAAAACACGGAGAGGCGGAGCAAATATTACTCGTACTTAATGCATTATTTGAATTGTCTTTTGAAATAGCCCCCCCTCTCTTAATTCAAAACCCTGAAAAAAGCAACTGTAGATCATTAGGCTAATTAATTAAAATGTACTAATTAACGTTTTAATAAGTTTGATGAATCACGTTGACAATGCAGTAATGACATGCAGTACACTGGTACTGAAGATTGCAATCAATCTATTGCTTGATTGCAGTGTCCGGCGCCAGCGTAAGTTATTTTCACTTTTGGGGGTAATTAATTTTAATTTTTGTACAAGTGTTTTAATGGGTTTTTCAAACAAACAATATTACAGGTTTTCACGACTCGTTGCAACATCAGAGAACATACCTTGGGTCATGGTTTGTCACCGGCTTGACAGAAATTTTGTATAGATTTAATTTTCTAACGTGGAGTGTTTTTACGAAAAAAAGTAAGCGCTGGTATTGATTTTCTGTAGGCGTGGAAAGAAAATGTATTGGTTCTTAGTCTTTAGACTCGGGGCCATAAACCGTAGAGTTATTATAATGTACGCTAGAGGTTCAACTGTCGCTAGTGTGCTGCTGCAAATTGAAGCAGACAGCAACCAGTCCGAAATTTACTTCCGGTAATGTATTTCTATGGAAAAAAGTGAGTGCATTTGCTCTCTGCGCTCGAGTATAAGAGCAAATATCGCGACTAATTCGTACGCACTGGGCGCATTAGAACATTTCTCAGTCACGCAGACAGAATAATTGGTCAGTTACTGCGTTTTTATTTTAAATTCGTGGCATGAAAAGCGGTGCTAAATTTGCTTCGTACATGTATTTATGTGCACTGTCGGACACTGTTAGCGCGAACACGGCATCGGCGATTTCTAGCTTGGGGGATATACGTGCCAAACGAACGAAAGACATCTGGGAAACTATGAGAGACGGCAAGAACTACGCAGTAACACTGAATAAGTGACTCCTTATGCATGCAGACGATCAAAATAAATTGAAAGCCACGTAATGTAGTCTGATTTCCAATAAATAAGTACTGCTAGTTTTATTCTTTCTGCTCATGAATATGTGCGAAGATGCTTGTTCTAAGTTCCAATCATCACCCGCACGCTCCAAATCTTTGCAGAAGAAGGGAGAAGCCAGAAAACAGGTGCCCGATAAAAACTGCTTGACATAGAAAATAATAAAAATACACACCTTTTGTAGCCCACGTACTTTATTTTTTAAGTTCGAATGTTTTTTTAACCGATCGTAAAGATGCGCACGACGGAGTCATTTTCATATAATGACACGACGGGCATATTAGCGATATATGAGCGGCACCAGAATGCTAGCTAACCTTGAACACATTCTACATTCCTTTCGATCGTTATTTCGCTTGGAATTGCCGCTCGTTTTTACATACCTGTCATGGTACAGAGGTTTGGGCCTGAAATACACCGACTTTTGACATCGTTCAGTGGTAAAGAAAAATGCCGTAACTAAAGCATTTACACTTTCATAATGTTAATAAAGGTACACACTATACAGTACAACCGAAATAACACAAGTTATTTATGTTATTTTCCGGCGAAGAGACAAAATGTGCGCGTGTTTCCCCATAGGAATGCACAGGAGCACGGCAAAAGTAGACTGGTTGCTGTCCGCTTCAATTTGCCTCCCGGAAGTCGCATAGACACTAGCGCCAGTTGAACCTCTAGCGTACATAGTAATAACTCTATGCCATAAACTTCTCTATAGACAGGTAAAGACTATTTATTGGTTTCCAGTCTTTAAACCATGGGCAAAGAAGTTTTCTATAGGCGGGAAAAGAGCATTTATTGGTTCGCTGTCTCTAAACATGGGGCCACATAATTTTCTATAGACGTCTAAAGGAATTTTATTGGTTCCCGGTCTTTAGACGTTTGGCCAAAGGATTTTCTATAGGCGGGTGAAGAAAATTTATTGGTTCCCAGTCTTTAGAATTAGGGCCATAGATTTTTCTGTAGCTGGCTGTAGCTGTCTTTATGGATTTCTATGGCCAACCATAAAGGTCCATAAGGGTTGATAGCCTGCCATATAATTTTCCATAGACGACCATAGACCATTTTTGTATGAGAGTCTCAGATTTTATATTTCTTGAGAACAGGCTAGTATTCACGAAAATGCTGTTAATGTGCATGTTCAAGAATGTCACCTATGTTAATAATATACACAGGAACCAATTTAAAACAACCCGGAGACTTAATTTTATTCAGTTCAGCACAAGCTGTTTAGTCCGCGCTAGCAAACGGGTCGTCGGGCATCTCTGACTGGGCTGATTGGACAGCCTGGGCCTGGAGCTTCTTGGCCATCCTTTCAGCCGGCCGGAGTAACAGCGGCATATCACTGGTATTTCTGGCCCTATAAAATGCGAGCTCCAGTCAGGGTGCAGCTGATCACTGCAATTCACCTTCATTGCTTTCTGTGGTCTGGCAACATGGCCAAACGCTAGCTGTTTCTTGTATTGGTTGGGCCAGGGAATCTCAGTGAGTCCACAGGGAAGCACACATCCTGGCAGTGGCCTGTCTATCTCAGCCGGCCCTGGCCGGGGAAATGCGAGCTCCAGCGAAGCAAGCGCACATCCTGGCAGTGGTCTTTCTATATTGGCTGGCCCTGGCCAGGAAAATGCAAGGTCCAGCCAAGGAAGCGCACATCCTGGCAGTGGTCTTTTTATATCGGCCGGCCCTGGCCAGTAAAATGCGATCTCCAGCCAAGGAAGCGCACATCCTGGCAGTGGTCTGTCTATATGGGCCGGCCCTGGCCGGGAAACTGCGAGCTCCAGCTAAGGAAACGCACTTCCTGGCAGTGGTCTGTCTATATCGGCCGGCCCTGGCCGGGAAAATGCGAGCTCCAGCCAAGGAAACGCACTTCCTGGCAGTGGTCTATCTATATTGGCCGGCCCTGGCCGGGAAACTGCGAGCTCCAGCTAAGGAAACGCACTTTCTGGCAGTTGTCTGTCTATATCGGCCGGCCCTGGCCAGGAAAATGCAAGCTCCAGCCAAGGAAGCGCACATCCTGGCAGTGGTCTTTCTATATGGGCCGGCCCTGGCCAGGAAAATGCAAGCTCCAGCCAAGGAAGCGCACATCCTGGCAGTGGTCTTTCTATATTGGCCGGCCCTGGCCAGTAAAATGCGATCTCCAGCCAAGGAAGCGCACATCCTGGCAGTGGTCTGTCTATATCGGCCGGCTCTGGCCGGGAAACTGCGAGCTCCAGCTAAGGAGACGCACTTCCTGGCAGTGGTCTGTCTATATCGGCCGGCCCTGGCCGGGGAAATGCGAGCTCCAGCCAAGGAAACGCACTTCCTGGCAGTGGTCTGTCTATATCGGCCGGCCCTGGCCGGGAAAATGCGAGCTCCAGCCAAGGAAGCCCTTCCCTGGCTGTAGCATGGAGACCTTGGGCCAGAAAATACAATGAAGTGCCAGGCTGGCGGACAATGGTATTCCTTGGGCGATAATGGGCCAGCTTACTGCAATCAAGCACCAATATTGGCCCAAGCTGGCCCAAGAAGGTGTGCTACCTGGGACGTCACAAATGAAGTCCTCTAGTTAAAAGTGCCACAAAAAATATTGAAGCGAGAGCAAACGAAAAAATATTGATTTTCATCTACATTTTGACACCTGACAAGCAGAATCCACTGCGTAACTTACATATAGCGACAAAAGTTATTTCAATTATGAATTTTAAGTGTTTTTGTGCAAAGCACTGCTATACACAAAAATATTTTTTTGTTGAAGTTTGGTTAGTGTAGAGTTACGAACGAAATACACCTTATGTATTTGATTAATATTACATCTATGAACTCGGTCATTCTTTGATCAGAAATCTTTGTTAACATCACAAATTTCGCTTCAAACAATTTGTGGTAGTTAGAAATTTAAAATCGAGAATTATTTTAATTTTAGGTGAAGACCTACTCCATCGAGTGGTATACATCAAAAGTGAGTAAACACCAATATTTGACAAAAAACCTACAACAAAGTTACCAGAAATAAGTCGCACTTGTGAGCCTTTTGTACTGGCTTTTCTTTTGGATCGTGTACAGACGGAAAATATGTTGCTCCCGCAGATGTTAGAAACACAAATACGCAAATACTGCAGCAACAGAGGTTGCTATGTTAGGTATCGAAGTTTGCTTTCTACAAGAGAAACAGGAGCGTTACACACGCAATATTTGTGACTTGTTTTTGTAAACGCTTCGTTGCCTTCCTCTTCCAGGAAAACTGTATGCCGGCATTAATGACCTTGGTGAGTGACGGATTTATCAAAACTTTGAATAGAGTACCAAATTTGCTCTTTTTTGTTTTGTTGCTGTGTATAAATTAGTTAATCATACTGTTAATACATTAGAATCGGCCAGATCTAACCCGTTTCGTTCTGCATTTTACCGCAAATCACACATAGTGGTGCTAATATTCTGTTGTTAGACAACTAAACATATTTTCATTATTTATTTGTTAATTTAGATTGTACAATCCTTTCGAAAATATTTTCAATCTCTACATTCAAGCCTTATATTCGAGCACAAGATATGACGCTGAACAGGATTTTTATGCAGTTGCTAATAAAATTTATTATCTGAAAGACTTCCCAGGCTGCAGTGGCGCCGAACTTTCAGAGTGTAAACTTCATAAATATATTTTATATTGTGCGTCAATATTTTGTATTAAAACAATTACCATGGAATAATATTTGAAATATTTTAAACTATGTTCTACAGATTATTTCAGTACCTCGAATTCGAGTAGTGCATAAAATTTGAAAAGTAGAGTACTGCTGCATGAAATATTTTGCTTCCAGCAGGAGCACATGTTGCAAAAAGAGGGCGAAATATAATGAATTGAAGAATCACACATAAGGTTTACGTGCTTGATTTGTGTTTGAAAATAAAGATTATTATTATTAAAATATTACTATTATTTTATATATCACCATTTTTTTATTTAAATCAAATATATTTGATTTAAAATAAATTTAATTAAATTACATATCAGTATGCTAGAGAAAAAGTGATTCGCTAAAACGTTTCCCAACTCGGCAGATATATTGATCAATTTGTCCGATCACTGATAACAATGCGGAAAAAAGAATGATTGAAAATGAAATGTACAATTTAGTTAACATTTTATTAATTTAATCCATGCAATCGCGAACAATAATCGCTTGATATTGTTGATTAGATAACAATATTTACTGGGTTATTCTTTCGCGTTCTCAAATCATTTCAATAAAACTTTACTTTTCCGGTTTTCGTTTCTTTTGCGTTCTGGTTTTGTTGAAGTAGGATGGAGAGTAGCTGACGAATGGAGTGGAAGTTAGAACTCAAACTTATCACTCGATTTCCTCAGAGCCGCACTCAATTTCGCTCGTGTTCCGTCTGATACCAGCATCTTTCGTTGGCTGATTCTTTAATTGAAATAGAAAGAAATGCTCAGAGAAAGCATCAAATAATGGACAAGCGGTAAGTTAACAATATTGGCGGAATTATTTTGGTGGCATGGGTTCGATTTATATCATCACATTAAAACCGTTTTGGTTTAAATCACGAATTAAATTTTAGTTTACAAAAATATTCCAAAAGCCGGGAGACGTCATACTTAAAATAAACGCACCGACTTGACGCTAGAGAAAGTAAAAAAATAATTGGAGGGTTCGCCTCCGATGCCGGAGGCATCTTCAGTAGTTACAAAGCAGATGCAAGGATCAACCACAAGTCAACGCTATTTATTAGGAACGTCCGTACAAGCGTCGTGGCGAGGGTCGCGGGTTTCGTTGCACACGGATTTGTCCCTGCGGGCGAACCACGATTCTAGGAGTTTTCGGGGCCCCCACTTATCCTCTCTAACCGAGGTCGTGGTGGCCGCAAAGTCAAGAGAATGATTTATTGTGCACATACGGTCCACTAGTTCAGTTTTCATTCGCATCGCGTGGGAGGCGTGCGTGACGTCACGATTGTGTTATTTGAGTCTGGTCTCTCGTCCGTCCGGTTTCACCAATATAGGTTACCAGGCAGTCACTCACTACAGGCGATTTTGTAGATAGAAATTTAGAGAGGCGTTATTTACAAGGTCACCTGCAGTGACTGCCCGGCGTCCTACATTGGCGAAACCGGACGGAGGGGAGAGACCAGGCTCAAAGGACACCATCGTGACGTCACGTACGCGTCCCACGCTACGCGACTCAAAACTGAACTACTGGACAATGCCTTTACAATGGCTCATGTCTGTGATACATCATTAGGTATTTTGATTTGGTAATTTTTTTACGATTCTTCCAAATGTTAGAACCGAGCTGTTCTATTTGTTTTGGCGGCCATGTGGAAAGAAGTAAGTCAATGTCGACGCTTAGCGGGAAAAAAGAACACGCATGAAAACATTTTTTACAGAAACAGAAAACAAATAAACACTCAAATTAGAGTGCTGAGCTGCAATCCTCAAAGAGGGCAGTGATCAGAAATTTGTTCCCCCCCCCCCCCCCAGAAAAAGAAAAAAAAACTTTTCTTCATCACCGCCCTATGCAGCGATTTTAGAGAGTATTTGCAGAAATATGTTCAATGTAATATTTACACGCGGATCAAAAATATGATTATAATTATCATATTAAATTGCATAAGATCGTGAGGTGCTACAGAACCGCACCTCAACTTTTAAAATATGCTTATAATCGTGTGGACTCTTTTTTACCAAGACATTTTAAACAGCAATTGTTACGGGCTGAGCGTGCCAATCAGAGAAACGAAGCCAATCATCTGACAGCGCCATAGTAATCTTGGTTGGGTTAAATTGACAAAAGAACGAGGTACCTTGCAAGCGCTGATATCGGTGATTCCGACAGAAAGAAAGAAAGCATAGAAATAATAACGCGGCAAACATCGCCCTGCGGGACCTGCTCTGCGTGCGACGCCATACCACCAGGCAGTTGCCCGCTCGCAGAACGATCGTGCCTCAATACTAAGTTGACCGGTCTTAGCAAAACTGCGTATTCACTCCAAACAAATTAGGCCTTTCTTCTTTTTTCTTTGTTTTTTTGCTGCGACGCGTTGAAGTTATATCAATAATAATGTTTGTGGTCCGTGGTGTTCGGCCTTCGCCAGATGATGCTGTATTAGGTATTGTAAACCACAATACTTTTAAATTCGCCTATTATCCTGTGCTATCTCGTTTACCTCTAAACACTACATTGAACCATAATGCTTTAACATTTCTATGTTTCAGGTAACGTGTACGATGAGATTAAAGCTCGTTTCACCAAGCGTAAGTCACTCTTTAACGACGGTCAAGTTGTACGCTTATATCTTCAACGGCTTAGCTTCAATGGCACAGCAGGCCTACATTGGTGTGGGCTGCAGCCTTTCTGCAGCATCGTGGCTTTCCTGAGCCAAAATAAATAATAATTTTATTATGATTGTTATTATCTCCCTTGCTCAATACATAACAGCGTTGTCTTTTACATATTTTGTGTACCACGAAGATATTCAATTAAACAAGTTTAAACTTTTGGTGTATTGTTTCGAATCTTTGGGTTCTATATTTTTTCTTGTTTTAAATAAACAAGATTATAATAATCCTACCACAAATTGATTGAATAATCTAAATATAGAAAATATTCTTCAGAACTAGACAGATATGCAGATGTAGGAACTCATAACCTATTTAATGAACCTCCTTGCCTTTACAGAGGGTGTTGACTTCAAGAACAGCGTTCAGAACACTGGTAAGGAATATTGTGTATCCTCAGAACCGAGAGCTTATGTTATTTTATCTCAGCTTGGTCTGAGTGAGGACGGAGTGCTGACACTGACAGACGAGCTAAAAGAGAAATTGAACCGAGATTTGATGTTCACAAAACATCGCTTGAACGATAGGCATGACGCTGTCAATACTGAAATTGAAACATAACTAGTAAAACATATAAGCAAAAAATCTACTTTAAATGTTTTGTTCACCGTAACGGTAGTCCCATCATCTAATATCCGCTGAGCGTTTTAAATGCAAAATAAACACGGCATCGATGTAACCCTCACCCAATTGTTTTCAAAATTGTGTTAAAAACATCATTACCCAGGCAGCACCGAGTTCTGGGCCAAAACTTGGCTTGCGTCTGGCAGTTTAGGGCATTAAAAGGCCCGAAGGAAGTCAAATTAGTGCCAAACCTGACTTTCCTTGGCAACAGTCTGGGTATCTTGGCCCTAATTCGCCAAACAAGTGCCAAACTTAGGCTTCGCTGCAGGGTAGTTCGGCTGCCATCTGGCATTTTCGGGCATAAATAGCCTAATGAATGCAAGATTTAGGCTTATTGACCGGTAGTTCGGCAGATCTTTGGCACTTATGGGCGAAAATAGCCAAACTAATGCCAAAGTTAGACTTCACTTTTTGATAGTTCGGCTGTCACCTGGCACATTCGGGCCAAAATCGCCACATATGTGCCAGAGTTAGGCTTACTACCTTGTAGTTCGGCAGAGCTTTGGCATTTTTCGGCCAAAATTGCGAAACTAATGCCAAAGTTAGGCTTCGCTTCCCGATAGTTCGGCTGTCATCTGGCAGGTATGGGCCGAAATCGCCACAAATGTGCCAGAGTTAGGCTTACTACCTTGTAGTTCGGTTGACATCTGGCATCTTTGGGCCCAATTCGCCAAACGAGTGCCCAAGTTAGGCTTCGCTTCCCGACAGTTTGGCTGTGATCTGGCAGCTACGGGCCAAAGTTGCCAAACAAGTGCCAGAACTAGGCTTACTGCCTTGGAGTTCGGCTGATGAGGTATTTTATGTACGCGGGTGGTCTTCATCTTAATTAAATAGAAATCAAGTTTTTTTTGGCTGGCAACTTTGTCTTATTTTGGGTGTCTCTTGATTTCTGCAGTCCAAAGGTTGGCTGAATGTTTTGACGCGGCTGGAGCAGGCTTTGCAAACGCAAATTGTGCTAGATGCTGTACTCGCGCGTAGGTACACAAGCCAATATCGGGACGCGCCGTGAGACTGGTCCGACATTAAGGCGCGTTCACACCGGCGATGCGATCTAGTCGCGCCATAACTTTCATCGCAAAAGCGACCATTGCGGGCAAAAAGTGACGGGATTTGAGCAGTCGCTTGCTGACCCGACTTTTTGCGATGCGCTCTAGTCGCGGAGAGGCCGAGCCAATCAACGACGTTCGGAGCGAGAGTTTTTGAGGAGTGACTCGCCAACGAAAGCGTTGGACTCGCTCATCGCGCACGCCAGATTGACCAACTAATTACTTTTTTCTTTTTTTGCGATGCGATTTAGGATGATCGCGCGACTGCTTACATCCCCGGTGTGAATCCGCCTTTACAGAAAGTGCTGCCATTGAGCTAACACTGCGCAAGACGGATGTGCGCACGTCTCCAGAAGAGATATCATTATTAGGCGGCGCATTGCAAAAGCGAGCGTGGCTCTGTGCGTGTCTTGCATTATGATTGCGCAGTGTCAAATCCTAGCGATAACAAAGAGCGGAAACGAGCGGGGCTCCGTGGCGCGGCTCCCGCATCACAGTTGGGGAATGAAAATGAAATCCCGGAAATTGTACCATTTTAGCGTGTTGATACTTTTTAAACATTAAAAAGTTGAGACACAAATGGGACGATACAGACAGGACAATCTTTGAACTTTAAAGGCCGCTGTACAAACGGGACGTTCTGCAGAAAAGAACCTTCTCTCCCGAAGCTGGAGGACGGGGAGGGAAAGGGCCAGCGTTGGATGGAAAGAGCGTCTAGAGAATGGGATTAGCCTCGGGGTGAGCCATCCTCTCGAGAGGGAGTGGGGACGGAACAAAGCTGCCGTGGGGGTTCCGGCTAAAGGTGGAAGAAAGTTAAGCTTGTCAAACGGCGACCTCGGATCCGAGGACGGGCAGGTCAGAGCATTTGAAAATAGCTGCCTGATTAGCTGGACCACCCAGTGCGGTCTACTGGTTCTAGAGGGTAACTCCGATGAAGAAAACTCGTTTTGTTCGAAAACTCTGAAAGCATTCTGGACGTGAACTCTTGCCACAAATAAAAATAACACATGCATGAAAAACTACGAAGGCAACTAAGCTTCCTTCTACGATGGAAGAATGCGTGAGCATTACAGGCAGAGTTATGTTGGCGCAACTTGCAATGAAGAAAAAAAAAGTTATGTTGACGCAACGGATAGCGCGCTAGTTTCACTATCAAGAGGGCCTAGCTTCGAAACCGGGCAGGGGATGGTTTTTTTTCTCGTGTTCTTTTTTTATTTTGTTTATTTTTTTTGTTCGGTCACGTGTCAAGAAAATTCACACGAACAGAAATTTGTTTTAGCCACGTCACTGGAGATTTGTTTTTCTTATTTTTCCTTTTCTTCAGTCTTTCTTTTTTTTCTACTTTTTGGTTTACGCTTCCTTTCGCAAAACTCTTTGCACTTATTTCGATTTACTTTGGCGTTAGCCAAATCATTTTATTTATGGCAGGGAATTCTGTCGTACGTATCTTATGTTACTATTACCAACCCTGGCATGCAATTCGCATAGAGAATTTCGTCCGGCAACCAGTTTGGGAATGACGACGCCAAATTAGTGCTCTAATTTATTTGAGGTCTAAGCATAATTTCGGCCTTGTTATCCGTCGGTCTCTAAGATTGGCTCTTGAAGTTTCTTTTGGGAAAGAGTAGACGATAGGCGTTTTTAAAGAGCACGTGCGTCGACCAGAGTGAACATTGCTGAAGCGCCTCTTGTGTGATTTTGGCCGTAAATAACTGGATGCCCCGGGCAAACCCACCCAATGTAGAAAAGTATCTACCTTTCTGGTTTCATAGAGAGCTATGAAAGCCAGAAGGGACGAATCCCAGCCGAGTCAAACTACCGGCTTGCAAACGCAATCGTGTTGATAATAGCGCAAAGGAGTTTGTATGACTCTTTCTGGCAGCGTGCAGAAAGTGAAGTCACGGATGTAATATAGGCTTTTGCCTAGTCACCTCGCGAACGGTTGGGTATCGACTGCAGAGATCCATTTCGCGTTGTTTTATTACGGGATTATATCTTGATTTCTCTGTTCCTAGTTTCGCAGACAGAAAAAAATCGCTTTTCTCGTGTGGTGTGACGGCGGGGAGACAGAAATCAGTCAGAGTACCGAAATTCGACGCTTGTGCTCGTTCTATAGTGCTTCTAAAAACCGTGCGATCACGGCTGTGGAACGTCAACATTGCATAAACTGCCGTTATTTGTACTCGTATTGCATCGCGAGGGAACGACTATGACAGGGTAAACACGGATAGGGAGAATGGGAGCGTGTGATTTGTTGAAGTTTGAATCAACAAATCGAGCTTCAACGATTGCGATAGTATTGCATTCACTCAGCCAGCTATATGAGTTCTCGTACTTTCCAAGTATGCGATTCGTGTTCTGCCAGTGGTACATCAGTTAGATTAAAAAGCAAAATCCAGGTTAAAAAAAAAAAAAAGAAGAAAAGTTTAGGGTGACTCGAGCCGCTCCCGCGCCGAATCATGTTTCACGTAAGCGTAATTTTGGGTTCAATGCACGACGAGGGGTCTTCAATCATAAAAATATTTTGAGTACGATTATTTGCAGCGCTGAAACTTTGAAAGCCAAGCAGTGAAGGCAATGGTGTTCTTATAAATATTATATACATATTATTTTACTCTGTTTGAATACGCTGCCGTCGTTATATCCTTGAATTATTGGCTAGCTTGTGGCGGACTGGGAAGTCTTGCAGGACCGTATGATAGGACCTACACTAAACCTGCCGCGCTTCGAAAAATGTTAGTCCGATGCATACCAGCTTGTTCAAGTCGGATGAAGCGTTGCGCATCCGGAAAAGCGCATTCAATCGCTGCCCGCGACGTGTTTCGTTTTTCTTTTTTTCGAGCAGCGAGATAATCTTTAGTCAAGCAGCCGGCCGCCTCTTCGGCGGGTTATGCATGATTAACGGAGGCGTCTCCTAATCCATTCTGCGTGTTGGCCCCTCGGGGGAGGGCGGTATACAGGTGGCGGAGGGCGGTGAAGGGAGGAAAGGAGGGCAGGAGAGGTGGAAACGCAAAAAAGTGGAAAGAGCGAACTTTATTTTCGGCTTCAAGCTCAAAACCCGCCCGCTCCGTGGGAGTACCGGATAGAGAAATCTTGCGGGAAGGAGAGGAAGCGAAGGAAGTGTACGCGATCCCCCTGTCCTGCGGGGCCAGGTACATCGGACAAACGGGGCGATGCCTCACCGACCGACTCCGAGAACAACAAATGGACGCCGAAAGGGCTGCTTCGGATTCCAAGCACCCGATCGTCATTCACGGGAGAAAATGTCCCGGCTACGCTCCTAATTTATGTAATAACAAAAACGGCTTGATGTAACAAAAATAACAATTTAATTAAACCTTTCGCCTCCCATGTGGGATGCATCTTCAGTAGAGCACAGAGCGAGTGAGAGTCACACAAAAAAGTTCGGCTATTTAGGCATAAAGTTTGTGTACACGTCCGGCAAGGGGCCACGGTTCTTGTTTACCAGCGATGAATCACTTCCGCGTTTGTCGTTCTGGATGAACCAAGATTTCAGCCGCTTCCTTGGTCCCCACCTTTTATCCCTCGCCAAGGTCTTTGACTTTGACAGGAATGCCTTGTCAAAGTCAAATTGGTGTCCTGACGTCCATGCGCGGTAGACAAGTTCGGACTTGAAGCGGGTGCCGTTCGTGGAATTGGCGGCATCCCGTGCGTGTTCTCTTAGTCTTGTTTTTCTTTTTCGTCC